TCCAGGTAGAGGGCTTGGGCAGGGTTTCAGCCTTATGGCTTAGGCTTTAGGGTTTAGGGTTTAGATTTCAGGGTTTAGGGTTTAGGGTTTAGAGTTTAGGGTTTAGGATTCAGGGTTTAGGCTTTAGGGCATTGGGTGTTTCGGGCCCTGACGGGAAAGGTTTCGGGCTTTGGGCTTCATGCGCCTCCCGGCTGGGGGCAGTGAATCACACGTACTTAAGTCCGGCACCCCAGCTCTGTCGCCTTGAATCCCTGAGTCCTTAAACCCTGAACCCTAAACCNNAACCCTACACCCTAAACCATGCAAACCTGACAGCCTTCACCCGCAAAACAGCGCGAGAAGCCCTACCTCCTCCCCCCACCGCCCAAGACAAACCATATGCTGAAGCTGTAAAGGCCGCATTGGCACCGGGAAGGCCAAGGCCACTCAAAATCACCCTCAGTCAAAGCATACACCCTGTCAACAACAAACTGAACCCCAAACCTCTGAACACCAAACACATAAAGAGCGACACCTCCAACCCCGAAACCTTACACAACTCCGAAACTTGCCCGTGTCAGAAGAGGCTCAAACTATACTTCAAGACAAACATGTCAGGCAAATTATCATACATGAAACGCTGAGAAATTAAAACAGTTCGTTGTAACACAGCTACAAGCAGATAATAATTGAAGCAGCTTTTCTTCTAAGAGCCGCAACACTGAAAGCTCAAACCACAAACAGAAGAATCCGAGGCTCCCTGTTTGAAGCTCAAACCCGAAACCCTAAAGCCCAAACCCTAGACTAAACCCTAAACCCCTAAACCCCTAAACCCTAAACTCCTTAACCCTAAACCCTAAACCCCAAACCCCCTAAACCCAAAACCCTAAACCCTAAACCCTAAACCCCTAAACCCCTAAACCCCCCTAAACCCTAAAGACCCTGCATGAGGCTCCAGTACCTGTGGAACCTCTCACCCGAACGCCCTCGCCGGGCCCGGGTCCGGGAACGCCAGCCGCGCGGGAGATCCCAGACCCCGAGGGCCCTTTTGGGGTTTTGGGGTTTAGGGTTTGGGGTTTAGGGTTTGGGGTTTAGGGTTTGGGGTTTAGGGTTTGGGGTTTAGGGTGAGGGTTTAGGGTTTAGGGTTTAGGGTTTAGGGGTTTAGGGTTTGGGGTTTAGGGTTTAGGGTTTAGGGACCAAGAGCGTTTTAATATAATGTAGGGGCCAAAATAACTATACTATATTTTTTGGGGGGTTCCGTATTATGATTAGAGTATAACGGGCCTTAACACCCTAGTCTAATTATTCAGGCCCCTATATTGATGGGAGTGCATAAGGGTTCGAATAGCTGTTACGCTGTATGAAGTAGAGGGTTCAGGGCAGGTGGTTTCCGGTTGTTTTGCTGCTGAGGGTTTTGGGGTTCGAGGTTCAATTTGATGAAAGGCTTCATGTGTCCTTGACGGGCTGTTTAGGGTTTTTTAACGGTTGTCCAAGGGCTTGGGGTTTGGGGTACAAGTTTGAGAATGTATTGGGTCTATTGTTCGAGGTTCATGGTTTGGGAGATGTAATTACGGTAGGGTTCATGTCTTGATGTTTAGGGTTGAGAAGCTGGCTTCCGTTTAGTTTGAAACGTTTCTGATAAGGTTCTGCGGAGGTTTGTGTAGTATTTGTCGTTACGTCATGGATCATGTCTGCTCAGGCTGTTATAGGCGACATGTTGGTTGGCTATATGGTAGTATGAGGATGTATAGATCGAGTCATGGTTTTATGGCAGCGTTTCTTGGTTTACCATTAGTGCTGTGAATCCCTTTGGGTGTCTTTGCAGGGCTGTACAGTGTGCAGCACCTATGTGAGTAGGGAGCAAAATGTTAAGGCTTGTCCGCTCGGGATAATATAGCAGTTGGGGTTTCCGGCGCACAGCATCCAGGAATAATCTTTCTTTTCAAGGACGGGGCACAAGGTCTCGATGCTTGGGCTGAAGTGTGTGGAGGTTCTGCCTTGCGGTTGCAAGGCTTTGGGTTCAGGGTTTTCAATGTTTGAGGGCAGTTTGGGGTTCGTGGTCATCGTTCAGCCCGTCAGGGCATGGCTTCAATTATGTTAGGGTTTAGGAGACCCTAAACTAAACCCTAAACCCTAAACCCTAGGGTTTGAGAGGCCTAAAGTCGACAGCCTCTGTGGCGTAAAGCTCCCGCACTCGGATGTTGACGGAAGTTAAAGTTAAACTGTAGGATTAGAACACCTGGTTCGAGGTAAGGCAACCATGGCTAGAAAGGTATTCACCCTCTTGTTATCTCCTCCAAGCATCTATGAATGAATCTACGTCTAGATTCGAATTCAGCCGCAGGCGACGTTGAAACGGCAAGCTTGGTGATGGAATGGTACAACAGACAAGAAGGGCACAGCTGTCAGCGTTGTTGCAGAACCGTGTAGCAGCCGCCAGAAACCATCTACAGAAGCCTTTACAGGATCCGCGAACAAGGTGCTCCTACTGTTCATGGTATAAATCCCGCATTACCTTATAAGGACCCTAAACTATGGGAATGATATGGTATATTCCTTGTTATGGGTAATGCAGGATTTATATCATCCGCCGTACTTAAAGGATCGTGGGACTTAGCAACTGAACTACTTATAATTACTTATAACCCCAATTAAGGTACTTAAAACCCTACTTACTAAGTCCCAAGATCCTCCAAGTAAGCGGCGGAGGCTGGCCATCCCGGAGGACTTCGATGATCCGGAGGTCGGAGGTATGGTTTCATAAAGGGTATTGGGGTTTAGGGCATTGGGGTTTAGGGTATTGGGGTTTAGGGTATTGGGGTTTAGGGTTTCGGGTTTAGGGTTTAGGGTTTAGGGTTTAGGGTTTAGGGTTCGGGGCAGTGTTTCTTGAAAGCTTTCTGTCGCATTCTGAGCTTTAGGGGTTATTCAGATGTTGGTTCAGGCTTCCGTAGAGGGTTCACGTAAGTGTTTTTTGGGGGACGTAGGGTTTGGTGTCTAGGGTTGTTGGAGTTAGGGTTTAGGGTTTAAGGCATAGGCACTTTGCTCTTCAAGTTGCCAAGGCTTCCATGTATTTCCAAATGTCTGATGGTTTTTGGGCATAGAGTTTTGGGTATAATGTCGAGACCTTATAATAATCAGACTAGGGCTTGGGGGCTCTTTGTATTATACTTTATAGTAAGGAAGCCCCAAACCAAGCCATGAACCATGAACCCCTAATGTAGGAGCCTAAATAATTACCTATACTAGTTTCAAACTAGTATTGGTAAGTTATTTAGGCTCCTACATTAGGGGTTCATGGTTCATGGCTCGGGTTCTGTGTTTCCCTAAGGGTCCATGTTCCCAAATATCACATACTTAGGCCTGAATGTAGTCCCTATATGGGTACTTCAGGGTCAAAGTATATTCATATGGATACATGGACCCTTAGGGTTTGGTCTTTTAGGTTTAGGTCTCGCAGCCATCGGATCAGGGGAGTTTGGTGAAGTTGAGGCAGTTCAGGCTTGCTGCCTCCAGTCAGGCTAATATAGGGCGGTTGAGGTTTGGGGTTTAGGGTTTAGGGTTTAGGGGAGGGGCCTTAATAATTACCTATACTATTTTGGCGGTTCCTTAGAAAAAAACGTATAATATACCCCAAAAAACCCTATTCTAATTATTAAGGCTCCTATATACATGAGTAGTAGCACTGGTAGCATTCGTTGCAGTAGTCGCCGTCGTTGTCGTCGTGGTGGTTCTTGTACCGTTACGATGCGCTAAGGTGCTTGTGTCGTTCACCATGCTCACGATAAAGTAATTATGATTGCGCCGCCGAGCAGGTCTGTGATGTGGACGAGGCTGATAATTCCATAGTCCCGGCGGACAAAGCTGGTGGCCATGACGTGCAGTGGCTGGTGATGGGGTGTTGGAGAGTTCATACGTCCCACTGAGAGTCTGACATTTGATAGGCAGACGCATGAAACCAATACCCCAAGATAGAGAATTATGGTATTCGGTAGTGCCTGGTGTTGTCCACTGGTCGTACTTCTTTTAAGTCGCCAAAACCCTAAGCCTTAAACCGGCTAGCCTCGAAGCCCTCAACCATCTAAGCTTCGTCGGAGGCCCTAAAGCAAACCCTTGGGGTCGTCAACCGGCGCCAGGAAGAGTTTGAGCCTTAGCGTGAGTGAAGTTGAGAGTTCAAGCGTTTTGGGATTGGGGGGTTTGGGGTGTGCGGCTTTGGTTTCAGGGTTCAGGGTCTCAGGTTTTTCCGTCATTTGGGGAGATGTCGAGGGTTTCAGTCGGTTTCTGCTTTTGCTTCTGGCAGATGTGCTGGGGAAAGGGAAGCCTCCGGCTAAGACTCAACAGCTTCTGGATCTGCACCAGTTCGTGCTCGGGCTGTTCCGTGGTGTGGTATCTTCATTTCTTCGCTGTGCTATTTTGCCTTTCTTGAACGGGTGGTCTTATGCCAAGGGCTTCCCTTGTTCATGGGATGGGTTTCTATCCAGTTCGCCAAGGGTTCAGGCTGAAGGTTCAAACCAGTCTCCAACAACCCCCGAAACTGCCAACCCTAAAAACTTACACCCTACACTCCCCAATATAGAGGCCTGAATAATTACCAATACTATTTTTGGGGGCGGCCCTTACGCTAATTATGGTATATAATATACCGAAAAACCCTATTCTACTTATGAAGGCCCCTACACTAAACCCTTGCAGAACCCTCAGAATAACCCTTATAGTAACCCTGTAAAGGAGCCCTATTCTAATTATTACGGCCCTTCATTACACCCTTGACCTTCATTACAGTTTTGAGACTCAGGGTTTGAAGGACCCGAGCCGTTGCAACCAGAAACCAAAAGCCTTACGGTTCAGGGTTTAGGGTTTAGGCTTTACCCATAGGACCCATAGTGGTTCCTGTTTTGGGACTACTTTCTAGGATTCTATATAATATGAACCCCAAAAAGGAACTACTTTAGGGCCTATGGGTAGAGTTTAGGGTTTAGGGTTCAAGCTCCAATCTCCTGCGTCTGACTGTCGGAACAGCCCAGCTCCTCGACGGCTGAAGAACACCCGGCGAACATAGGGGCCTTAATGATGACCCATATTATTTTGGGGTTCCTTACTATTGTATACAACTACATATAGTATAATATACCCCCAAACCCTATTCTAATTGTTGAGGCTCTATATTACTCCCAACCCCCATCTCGCAAGAGACCCTCAAACTTGACAAACCATCCCACAGGTGGCAGCGGCAGCTGCAGTCGGTCGATGAGAAACAGGTGCAGATTTGCCTGAGTTTCTTAGGGTTGAGGTTTCAGGGTTTAG